CCTCCCTCACTCTGCCACCAGGTAACCCCTCACTCTGCCACCTGTCACAACCTCCCACACTCTTCCACCTGTCACCTTCTCCCTCATACACTCTGTCACCTGTCACATATGCATTCACACAGACACTATATACAAAAAGCACATGTAGTCATCCAGACATGCACAAGTGCATTCACACAGACTCAAATACAAACATGCATTGATACACAGGTCTTCACAATACACACATCCAAAGGAATGCCGTATTATGAATTATATTTAACATTTATTAAAATGCACATATATTTGGCCTTCAAAGGGCCTGGGATCTAATTTTGCCCGGGTGCCCCAAAGGCTCTCAGTCCGCCCCTGTGTGTGGGCCAGTGTGTGTGGGTCAGTGCATCTGTGTGTGTGCCAGGATGTCTGTGTGTGTGTGTGCGCCAGTATGTCTGTGTGTGTGCCAGTATGTCTGTGTGTGTCAGTATTTCTGTGTGTGTGTGTGCCAGTATGTCTGTGTGTGGGTGTCAGTATGTCTGTGTGTGTGTCAGTCTGTGTGTACCATGATGTCTGTTTGTGTGTGTGTGTCAGTATGTCTGTGTGTGGGCCAGTATGTGTGTGTGTCAGTATGTCTATGTGTGTGTGGGTCAGTGCATCTGTGTGTGTGCCAGTATGTCTGTGTGTGTGTGTCAGTATGTCTGTGTGTGTGCGTCAGTATGTCAGTGTGTGCGTGCCAGTATGTCTGTGTGTGCGTGCTAGTATGTCTGTGTGTGTGTGCCAGTATGTCTGTGTGTGTGTGTACCAGTATGTCTGCCTGTGTGTGTGTTTGTCAGTATGTCTATGTGTATGTCTGTGTGTGTGTGTGTGTTAGTATGTCTGTCTGTGTGTGTCAGTATGCCTGTCTGTGTGTGTGTGTGTGTGTGTGTCAGTATGTCTGTGCACCTCTAGTGGCTATCTGGTAGACAAGCAGTACTACAATGTAAACATTGCACTTTCTCTAAAACTATTAGCTCAGTGGAACTAAACTTAAGAGGAAGCAATTGCCCGCAGCACCTACCTTGCTTCTTATTGAGCTGCATTGGGAAGTCTGTGATTGGACAGCCACAGAAAGTCTGGGCGGGGTTAGATGGGGAGGCCTTGCAATATACTAAACAGTGATTTAAAAAAAACCTTGGGCAGTGGCGTATCCCTTGGAGGTGCGAAATGTAAGAAATTGTCATGGGCTGACCATATTTTAGGAAAAGCATTTAAAAAAAGGAAAAGTCTACAAACCCAAATTCGCCAGCTCAACTGCTCTGACCTAAAATATGTTGGTTCTCCAGTATTTTTTTTTGGTGACAGCTCCACGTCAGTATGTCTGTGTGTGTGTGTACCAGTATGTCTGTGTGTGTCAATATGTATCTGTGTGTGTCAGTATGTGTGTGCAAGTATGTGTCTGTGTGTGTCAGCCAGTATGCCCGTGTGTGTCAGTATCTCTATCTGTGTAAGTCAGTATGCCTGTAACTGTGTGCATGTGTGTGTCTGTCTGTCAGTGAGTGTGTGTTTGTTAGTGTGTGTCAAATCAGCAAGTGTGTGTGTGCCTGTCAGTGAGTGTGTCTGTTTAGGTGACTCCCCCCCCCTTTCAGCCCTCCCCTGCTGGACAGCCTCACGCTCTACAAGAGGAACTCCAGTGTCAGAGAATGCTTTCCTGTGTGGAAGATCCAACGTGCAGCATTTGCTGGGCATGGGCATTATGTCCCCCCATCGATCGGGGGAGGCGGACTGCGATGCAGTGCTGGAATTGGCACATAAATAAAGGGTTATTTAACCCTTACAATGCTTTGAGGTGGTCATGGGGGCTGAGAAACAGATTAGTCTTGGGAATACATCTTTGTATTCTTAAAGGACCACTATAGGAACCCAGACCACTTCAGCTTAATGAAGTGGTCTGGGTGCTAGGTCCCTCTAGTGTTAGCCCTGCAGCTGTAAACATAGCAGTTCAGAGAAACTG